CTGATGTTGACCAGTGCAATGACGCCGCCTTTTCAATGTGATGTTGATCATTTGGGTACCGTCCGTGTAACTCCTTGGCTCCCCAAGCAGCTATTTCATTAGTGATCGATCATCAATTATAATCGACAGGTCAACCTCTATATGTATGGCCAGCTAATGTATCTATGTTGCCGCTATAAGAACAAATACTCATCCCCTAGGAGATGCAAGGCCTTGTCGTTGGTAGAGCTCCTGGTTAGGTGCTGGGGGAATCCCCCTAGCACTTGGCTTGATCTAAGAAGCATCTCACTCATCGTCTTGTCCCTGACTGTAGTGTCGTGGCCAGGGAATTGCACAAAGACATATAACGATACCGGGCGGGGCTACGGACAGCCACAACCTTGGGGCACCGAGGGGCACCCCATTGTATTTTACCCCTTACTTCTACATGCTGGGCTCTGTAGAAGTGCACCGACTATCCCTAGCGACTCATAGGAACACTATGAGATCTGATAATAATAGTAATAAATACATCACCGGTGAAGCTGTGGGAAAACCCCCTAGCGACACTGGGAACAGTAACAATGGAAGTTCCAAGGGGCCAAACCCAAGAGAACTACAGGAGAGGTGGCTGACACTTGCGTGAGACCATCCTCCGCAAGTGGTATACAAGCTACCACCTCTTTTAGCAAGGGTCGGGAGCCTGCCTCCTACCTCTAAACCCAACAGGCGACACAAGCTACCGTTTCGTCTACCCGGCCTGGGTCGTAGCTCCTCGACTGTGAGGGACACGGGTCTCCGCAGGAAGTCCTGGGACTGTATGATGAGTTATAACTCAAAGAGGGGGACACAATAGATCTCTAAGGTCGCAGAGGTTAACCCCCCTCCCACTTATTCTAATTCTAAATTCTAGAACAAATACTAAAAAGCAAATTAAATAAATGTTTATCAATAAAAAGTACTTTCACTAAACATTATCTTTTAGTAAAATTTTACATAGAATCTTTCAAGTTCTCGGTGGCCGCGTGGTTACAGCGTTAGGACTTTACGTTGCTATGACGTTGGAGCCGTAGTAAAGCAGGTTCGAATCTTAGTCAAGGCGACTTTTTAATCGTTTTTTAATTTTACATATTTTACATATTTGTATGGTTAATACAATTTTAGTAATGTATTTCTCTTCATTTTTAATTACTTGTTCAAATTTTCTTCAGCTAAATCGGAAAAAAAAGTTTATATTAATATAGTGTCTAATGCTGTATAGATAATGAATGGTACGGAACCCTTCGTGCGCGAGTTCGACTGGCACTTGACCAATTTTTCAAATATTTAAGTCCGAAATATCCGAGTTATTTTCCTTGAAAATTTAAAAAATGACTTTGCTTATATTTTGAGAACCACACTTGGCTTTTTGTGTTTTCTTTCTTGTAGATTTAATCCACTACATATTTCGCCATATTTTCAGAATATTATAATTTTCACTAAAAAATTATAAAATTTTCCAAAACCTCGAAATATACCCTTCAAATTTAAAAAAAAAAAAAAAAAAAAAAATTTTATAATATAATTTTAGATTCTTTGCAAAATTTTTATGAATTTGATATCAATATTTCGTTTTCCCTCTTATAATTGACAGATAAAAACTTTTATTTTTTAGATAAAAATAGTATGGTATGTTAGATATACAAATTAGATTGATTGGTGTTTTCTGGTATTTTGAAACACTTCTCTGTTTTCACCGGAAATGACTACAACTTCGATACCTTAAATGGCATCCCCGGTATTTTTTTTTACTCTTTTATTCGATAGAAAATGACATTCTGAGAAGAATAACATATCATATATCAACTTTGACATTCTCGCTTAATAAAAAATTGTAATTTAAAATTCAATCTACAATGCCATGGCTATGTTAAAAAACACTAATTCTCCATCAAGGAGCCTTGGAAAAATATATTTGATCGTCTAATGTTTTAGTGTCTTGTCCTGGCCAGTTAGAAAATGCTCAATCGTATTTTAATCATATCTCAATTTTTCAAATGAAACGAGGGTGGCTCATTAGTATTATTTGGAAAAAGATTTTTACGAATAATTTGATACCACACTATATATTATATTTCAAGTTAAATTTTCGTTATGAACTGTAAATTATAATTTCTTAAATAACCATATGCGAAAATGTTGACATATGATATGTCATTATATCTAGAGTGACATTTTCTATCGAATAAAGTAAAAAAAAATACCCATTTAAAATAAAGTTGTTGTCATTGCCGGTGAAACCGGAAGGACTGGAAACAATTGAATACGTCAATCAACGTCTAATTTATGTCATATTCTAACATACCAAACCTAGTTTTTTAACAAAAGTAGAGGTGAGCCACTTTGAGATGCACCCGGTATTTGATATCATCTTGTTTCTTGATAATATTTCTACGACAATAAAATGTACAATCATTTATTGTGATAACGTACCAATTAATATACTATTTAGAAATAAGTTGAAAAAATAAACCATTGGACTAATGGACAGATTGAAGGTTTTAAATTTTCATAGTGCCCCTCTATTCAGAGTTTGATTGAAGACGTTTGAAATTCTTATTAGAGCTAAAAGCCTGTCTCCTAATTTATTTACCGGATTTGTCCCCGAGGTAGATTGATATTTGAAGTTTTAAGCGTCACTGTTTAAAACAAAGTCGTAAACTTTCCACTATGAAGAAAATACAAAAAATATAGAATAAGAAAATTAAAATGAAATAACAATTAATGTTAGTGTACCTTTATATAATATTGAATATTTATATAGTTAGACCAATTTGTGTACAAGTAAAGAACCATTGGAAAATGTGGGCCTGTATGTTTAAACCGTCATACATACGTTTTCACAAATGATTGACTGTTAGATACAGTAATTAAAGAACAAAACCAACTTGGAAGGAATGTTATCATGGTATTAAATGAGATACTGTGGGACAGAAGCATGAACAACAGGAACAAATCGTTAATATATAAAACCATCATCAAGAGTATAACAACATACAGCGGTGAAGTGTGGCCAATTAAGGAAACAACAAAACGAATGCTGATAGCTACAGAGATGGATTTTTGAAGAACAGCAGACAAATCAAGACTCGAACGAATAACTGATGAACGCATAAGAGAAATTATGGAAGTTAAACATACAATAGTGGACGAGAGAAAGAACAGACAACTCAGGGGCACGTCCAAAGAATGGCAGAAATAAGAATCCCAACGGAAATAATAAACTGGAAACTTGCAGAAAAAATAAAACCGGTTATAGATCGAGAAGAAGTTGGCTGGATGGCATTAACAATTTTATGGAGGAAAGAGCTCTCGGAGACGATGCATGGAGAGACAGACAGGCATGGAGAGATGACATCGGAAGACGTAGAACGTTTTAAACCGATTAATATATATACATATATAGGTTTTAAACCATTGGCATTGTTTTTATCATTTTATTCGTACCCAAATTTGGTGTTCGTTGTATGTCGGCCAATGGAACAAACTTTAAAAGTAATGTTTATATCTTTGTGACAAGGAGTTAATTTTTTGGATAACTACTTGGGTTAAGTGGTAGAATAGCTTACAGCTAAACTTCGCCCACAAATTGTAAATATCTTTTTTATAGTACAATAAAGACGATTTTTTTTCACTGCTCAGAGCAGGTTTAAAGCTGCCTTATCGGTCCATGGGAACAAGACAAGGTGCTATTGTTAATCACCTAGAAACGAACGAACAATGTTGGCAGCATCAAGCAGCACAGATTTCTGCATTAGGCGGTGGCATTTCTGTGGCATTCGAATTACTTTAATTGTTCTTTCAGGTTGACCGGGATAATTCCAATGGCTGAAACAATCAAGGGGACTACCTGGACCGATTCCATTTGCCATATATTTTATTTCTATTCCAAATCCTTGATATTCCTTTGTTATTTTTTCTTTAAACTTGCTTTGTATATTCTTCTTGTTAGGAATAGAAATGACAATTAGTAAACTCGTTTTTAATTATATTTTAAGCGTGATGTCCGGTCTGTTAATTCTAACGGTTTTATTTGTTAAGATTGTTTCATCCCAGTATATTTTGAACCATTATTTTCGACTATGGGTGGTGGATGATATTTGTAGTAGGGCTCTTAGATTTCTCGGTCAATGTTGAATTGTTTGAGGATTTCCAAGTAGATGATCGATGCGGCTCTGTTGTGTCTTTCCAGATACTTTGTACTCGCCAGATTACTGCACCCTGATAAAATGTGTCTCTATTTTTCACCTAGAATCACATCTACGGTAACTTGTCTGATATGTTCTCCTTTAGGATGAGTTTCCGGTAGTTGCGTGTTGGAATTACTTGGTCTTGCATAGCCACTATGAATCCCTCGGTTTCTGGGTAGAAATAACCCAATGTTGACCAGTGCAATGACGCCGCCTTTTCAATGTGATGTTGATCATTTGGGTACCGTCCGTGTAACTCCTTGGCTCCCCAAGTAGCTATTTTATTAGTGATCGTGTAGGAGTTGGAAAAGCATCATATTGTTTACTACTGAGGTTCAAAGGGGTGTATTTGACATCAGCTGAAGACACCGTGAAGAAAAGGTGGCTGTTCTTGGTATAAAAGTATTCTCTGAGGCTCTTTATTTGCTCCCGACAGACATTAACAACATCCAGTAAACCTCTACCTCAAAGACGATAGCTCCAAGTACAATAAAGACGTTTTTTTTTTCTTGTTATTACACAAGAAAGGAAGACACAAAAGATCTATAAGGGGTCGGGTTGATTATTATGATTATCCCATACAATCTACAATCAGTGGCGAAATACTCAGGTCCTTCTCAAGGTATAAAACAATATTTAACACATATCATTTCTGAAGTTTCAGTTTACCTACAGAAGTTCAAAGTTTACAGACTATATTCTCTGTTTACAGACTGTCAGTTGACATTAGCTTTACTAAATGTAGAGAACTACTGAAAAATGTAATTTTATAATTTGGAAAACCTCTCTTACCTCCATTTTGTTCTGTTTTGGGAAACCAATGTCTCACCTGAGCATCAGCCACCAGCGTTTTCGCTAGGGCTGCTCTTTCCGCCGACGCCAAATACTTTTGTTTGTGAAACCGTTTCTCTAGTTCGGCGATTTGTAACCTGGTGAACGACGTTCGGGGTTTCTTCCGTTTAGGGGGCGTTCTGTTTTGGTAGGGGTGGCCTATTCGCCTCGTCATGGGGAATGTGGCTGTAAAGAAGAAAACATGAATCAGTTTTTTGTTATTGGAACTATCTATATAAGTAAAAACGAAATGTTGTTAAGAGAGAATCGGTACATTTTTTTTGAGAAAAATGAAATAGTGAAGAAAGTGTCAAAGAATATGAAGTAGTTAAGCCGATGAAATGTGAAATGTGAAAAAAACTTCCGATGGAAGCTAGTGAAATAGAAAAAAATAAGTTAGAGAGCGTCTTTTTATATCTGTACCGAGAGAAGTGAACACTCATATTTTTAAAATTAGAACTAGCTAAGTTTGAGACAGAGGGCGCTACTTTTAATAAAATCTCACTTCACAAGTATATGACAATTAAAATCAAAAGAAAAGCTTATGTTCTAACGTGTTTAAAAATAGTAATAATATAACAATTTTACAATATTTTTTTTTCCAATATCCTCGGAAGTATTCAGATATTTTGAATTTCCAATACGGCCATAATTTCTTCACTACCTTGGTAATAAGTCTTGCTATAGTAGTAAGTTATCCACACATTTTTATAATATATATTTTTTTAATATGATCTTAAAATGTCCCACAGTATAATAGTGCAAGAAAATAGGCCTTCAAATACGAAGTTTTGGTAAAAACTTGAAGTTACTTTGAAAGATGTAAAAAAGAATTGTAAAAGATTTTTTTGAATTCATTGAAATAAATAAATAAAATTATTTTCTCGAAATTTCGGAGAAACAGTAAAAACTAGAAAAATAGGTTCAAATAAAAGTTGTAGAGCGTTCCATTTTACATAAAAATGGTCTCTATACTTTATTTGCTTAAATCAAAGTTAATCGATGCTAGAAGCTAGGACACAACTTTTATTGAAACATTTTCAAAAAAAAAAAAAAAAAAAATTTGAAAAAAAAAGAACTTATTTATATTTTTCACCCCTTCCCGGGGTGAATTTAAAAAATCTCAATTGAAGTTTATAATTTTCCAAACAAAATGAACAAAAAAATGTTAAATATAAGAATTTTTCAGCAATGATATATATACAGGGTGTCCCAGGCTGAGCGTATTAGTAGAACTAATAATATGTCTAGATCGATATTTTATTATCGAGATCTATCGATTAAATATTTTCATTATTTTTTTTTTTTTTTTTTTTTTTTTTTTTTAAATTTTCTTATTTAAATGGGTTCCCCTATTTTTTATTACATACCTCTAAATTCTCTAGAAAAATGCTATGAATATTGATGTTAAAACACTCTATATCTCAATTATATTTTTGAGAAAAAAAAGTTTTTTTATTTAAAAAAAATGTATAGCCTCAGAGTCAAATTTAGTGATTGCTACAGCTATTGTGATGATAAGGGAGAACGATTGATATTATTCATTCAAAATAAATTTTTTTTAAATTAAATATAATAATGGCCGAAACTGTTTTGGAATTGAGCGATTAAAGAATATAAATCATTTTTTTCATTGAAATCCTCATTCCTTTTTCCTCACTAGTGAAGATTTTACATCTGTTAATTTTAATTATACGTTCCTATACCAAAATAAATAATTTTAAGTTATTTAAGATTTTAGTCTGAAAACGTATATTTTCTTTGATTTTATCTAGCTTCCTTTGACATTAAGTGTCAAAAGTCAGACAATTTATTTCCATCTGTCAGAAAACAAATTATTTGAATTTTCTAAGCTTTATTAACAAATAAAAAAAACTTAAAAAAGTTAAAAAGTGTATTTATAAAAATATGTCTCGTATTTTCGCTCCTTAGTGATATCTAATAGTTGATATTAATTATATTGATAATATACTGTATCAACCCTGAAAAAAAACAACGTAAAGTTGGCTTCCAAATGATGATCGATAACATATTGCTTTCTGAACAAAGTGTCACAATATGATATAGCCAGATCTATTGATTTACATCACTTGACGTTTAAAGTCATAGGCTACTGGTCAAAATCAAGAAAAAACTAAATTTTAAATAACTTAAAAACGATTCATTTTAGGTACAGGAACATGTATAGTCAAAAAGTAACGAATTGAAAATCCTTTTCACTAGTGAAATAAAAAAAGTGGGTTTCCATTTGAAAAAAATGATTTATGATACTTCTTTTATCGCCCAATTCCATGACAGCTGCAGCCATTATTATATGACATTCAAACAATTTAAATTTTGAAATAGATAGGCGCATGTCTTCTCTTTATGACACAGTGGCTGTGGTAATCACTAAATTTGACGTTTAGGCTATACACATATTTTTTACAGGCAGTTTTTTTCGTCCAGAAATTTTAAATATTTTTTTTCTCAAAAACGATTAATGTTAGGTATAGAGTGTTTGATATCAAAATTCATAAAATTTGACATAGAATGTAAGTATGTAATAAAAAATGGGGGCACCCAATTAAAATAAGAAAGTTGTCATCAAGTTCCGGTATTTCCGGAAGTTTCGGCATATTGAAAATAGTTTTAATCGATAGATCTCGTTGTGAAACAATGATGTGCAAAAACTCTCCGGTCTAGATATTGTGGTTCTCTAGAAACTTCTAATGAACGCTCAGCCTGGGACACCCTGTATATTTTTTAAATTTCTACTATCATCCCCTATCTTCTAGCCACACTATCTATGTTAATTTTGATCTGAGCAAAAAAGTATAGAGATCATTTTGAACAAGAAAGAAATAGTGAGGGAAATGTATAAAAACGAAGAAAAAAAAAAGAAAAAGATTAAACGGCTCAGCCCTCAACAACTCGTAACCGTATACACCAGTGAGATCATTTTTATGTATAATTTGACGCCTCACAATTTCAAAAAAATAATTTTATTTTTTTATTTCACTCCTCCTCGGGGTGAATTTAAACAAATCTTTCACAATTCGTTTTTAGATCTTTCAAAGTAACTTATATCAAAAATTCAAGTTTTATCAAAACTTCGTATTTAGGGTGGATGCAGTGACGCCGACGTTCCGTAATCCTGCTGTTAAAAGATAACAGCTGGTTGGATATTGTCACCAAAACCTGTTGATTGGTTGTTGTATTGATATTTACGCTGCGTTGGATACTCTACACTAAATTATAAAAAAACGGTGAAGACTAATGATACAGTCCGGGTTTTAATAAACATTAATAACGGTAACAGACTAACGATATTAAAACATCTGTAATACTCAAGTATACAAACAGAAAAAAAAATGTCAAAAATACCCTAATATTGACGCCGTTGGCTTCTATAACTGCCTGTATACATCCATTCATACTGTCATTGAGGCTGCATAATATATTATATTGCGTTATGTTGTCCCATTCTTCTTTAAGGACCAAGCGAAGTTCATATAATGAAGCTGGTACTGCGTACTGCGTCGCGACATCCTGGCAAGCATTTGCCAAACGTCGAACATGATGGGCAGTTCGTAGTAGTATATAGTTCACAATAATCATCAAAGCCGCCTTGTCACATTGAAAAAATAACTTCAAAAAAGAAATGATAATTATTGAAAAATTGGCAAATTCTTAGAGGCAAGTTCATTTCGCTCTTAAAAGTTAACCAAGGCATGTATTGGCATAATCCAAAAAACAAAATGCTCAGGAGACATGGTTCTGACCATAAAATTATATTTTAGGAACATTTACTAATGAAATTATTGCACAGAGTGTTATAAAGTTAAGGTAAAAAACAAACCCTCGATTAACCCTGTAGGATATGCCAAATACTAAAGTTTATAAAAAACTGAGTTTACGAATAAGTGGTATAATTATATACAGTGATATAATTATATACAACTTGCTAAAAAATTCACGAAAATAGAATACCTATTTCTCTCCAATCTATTACGGTCAAAATAAAATACTTACAACCAATGCAAACACTTTTTTACCATCTATATCCATCCCATAAAAAACTAAGTTACAAAGTACATAACTTCCCTTATTTATCGTCACTTCCCTCCTTGAAAAATACTTTACTCACCGCTTATATTCAGCGCCCCGCACCGTTTCGGTTAACGTTTTGGGCCTGTCTAATGCGCTAAAACACTGATATCACCAGTCGCTCTAACGACTCAATAATCCTTTAGAGCGCGGCGCGTAGGGCGAAATTATTAGGTAAAATTACGTGCAAACGACAAAGTAACCTTAATGGCGCATCATAACCCTCATCCTCTTAAAGTAACGCCTGAGGACAACAGCGACGAGGTTAAGAAATTACCTTTTGTTTTCATTTAGGAACAGCCAGGCGAGGCGGGAGTGTGAGGTGTTTATCAAAGTTAGGAGGAGATTGTTAATTGTAAATACAATATAATAAAGTCTTATGATCAAGAGTACTTTGTCGTAGTAAGTTTTTACTTAAATCGATACCATATAATCCGGACTGTCTGTGACACTGTAGAAGAAAACAAACAACAATTATTTATCCAAACGATTTTAAGAGATAGACTCAATTAGTGTAAAAATCATACACTTTTCAAAACTTTTAGTTTATTTCTGAGTTACAACCTTTTAAATACAAGAGTATTTATTAATATAATATAAAACTATTGTATAAAACTCATTTGGTGGCAACGAAATTATTGTAAAAGTAAAAATATACCAAAAGTACCCCTAAAAAAGTCAGTATGTAGAAAACTCTGTCTCATATTTAACCTATATAAATGCTAAAAATTATACATGCTAGGTTAATTATGAGAGAGTTACAAAACGCACGTTTAAAGGCCCTGCTATCGTTTATACTAATTGCTGAAATAAAGATGAGAGTAGAAGGATAGAAATTAGATATAGCAATTTATCCTTTTTATTCGTCGTCGTCTATAAGTCCGTACGACGTGTAGTGGCTCTGGTTCTGGCTCTAAGGACCTGACAGCCGCGCACACACCGACCGCCCGTCTCCAATTTTCTCTGTTTTCTGTTCTTCGAACGGCACCCTCCAAGTTGGTATTCATAAGTTTTTCAACCATGTCCACCCACCTGGTTAGCAATCTTCCTTGGCGACGGGACCCTGCAGGTCTTCGACTCCATATGCTCGCTCCTGTTGACGTGATCGAAGAAGAAAAGGATGCGTTTATAGACAATGCTGGGAAGTCTTTGTGGTAATTGGATTGCATTAAGGACCGACACATTGGTGTGAAGTGCTATCCATGATATTCGCAACGTTTGATATTTTGTAGCCATTCATCCTTTTTATTACTAGAACTCAAATAAAAATATCTAAACTAATAAGGAACACCTATCTATAATTCAAATCAAAATACTGTTAAATTACACCGCAAGTATAAAACAATTATATTAAATTAAAGACGAAGAAAAAGATGTGGTTAATAAGTGACATTAAAATATTAGTACTGTAACAAAAAAATACAGATATCCAAACCAAACCAATTAACAAACTAAATATTTCTCAAAATCTATTGAAAGAGCAAATATCTCATCAGTCCTAAAAGTCCCGACACACTACCGTTTCTGGATGTTCTTGTCAGCAGAAACGATGGATCCATTAGCACTGCTGTATAAAGAAAACCCACACATACGGGGCTATATTTAAATTCTCAGTGGAACCAACCAAAAGAGGTAAGCAACCATAAGAGGTATAGTTAAAACACTACACTCTCTCTCTCTCTCTCTCTCTCTCTCTCTCTTGACGATTCCATATGTCAAAGGAACATCGGAGAAAAACAGGCGAATAGCTAAGAAATATAAAATTAAAACTGTTTTTAAGTCTGGGACTACTCTAAGAAGTCTAACAAAAACAAAACCTGAATCATCAAACCAAGAGAAAGAGTGCATCTACCAGGTACCTTGAGAGTGCGGTCAGTCGTATATTGGAGAGATAAATCGTATATACATATTACGGGTGGAAACCATTACAATAATAAACAAATTATTAGGGTAAGTCTCCTACTGCTGACGCAGTCTTCGTTTCCCGCCTCCAAGCTAGTCTATCAAAGACATCATTGTCTTCTAATTGCTTAGCTTCCATGGATTCTCTTATTCCGTCATTCCAGGATCGTCATAGGCTTCCTCGTTTTCTTCGTTGCAGCGGAACCCATTGAAAGACTCGTTTTCGCCATCGATCATTCTATCAACCACCGTGTCCTGAGCATCCATTCTTCTTCTAATCACTTCGTTGCGCACGCACTCCCTTCTAGATACTCGTGCGCTTCGCCTGAGGTAGTCCATTAAGCACAGATAAAACGTCCTCTAATGAAATGTACGACTTGACGAACATAAAAAACATACGCAAAGAGGTGAAACAATGAAGTCGGGCATTGCAGATCATGTGTGGTCCAAGCACCACAACATGAAATGGTCGGAAGCCCGGGTTGTCCCCAAAGAACCCCATTGGAAAAACCGCAAATTTAATGAGGCCGTATTCATTTCTAACAGTAATAAAATCTTTAGCATTCAAGTATGGAAATTGTCAACACAATACGGCAACCGGCAACAAACAATATGGCAACAACTCATAAAACGCTCCAATGCAGGTGTTCTTAGTGGAAAACCTCATGCTTGACTGCACCCAACAAATTCACGGCTCGGCTCTAGTATATAAGCTCAGTAGTTTTAGGATTTGGTTTAGTTCATATTTGATAACCGTCAGTGACACTTCTGACCGAAACGTTAAGTAAGCAAAAATAAATAAAGACGATGGTCAAAAAACAAGTCCGAAACTCTTTTAACTCTTCACTTTGCCCAATTTGATTTGCATAAATTTATTAGGCATTTCTTTTTTTGTCCCAGGGAATATTATATCTTTAACGTATCTGTTCAATTGTTGTAACACTGTTAAACCTGTCGCTCCTGTGGGAGCGATAAACAAAGCGCCGCGGCATACGCTGCATGATCCGCTACAAGCACTCCCACGTAATCTCATTAGCGGATACGTAATATTCTAATTAAGGTTTAAAGCCGGCTCGCGCGTTTACTGTAGCGGCGGTGCCGCGAATTATCAAATCGCATGTATGATTGATGCCTAACAAGGTGTTTAGCATAGCTAAGCTAATAGGCGCTCCCGGGGGACTTGCGATGATGCGAGATGACAGATTACTAAACGGTAGTTATGAATTTGTAATGCGCTATCGTCTAGGTTTCCCTTGATACGGCGATATCCTGATATTAACAGGTTGAGATTAAGCAAGCTTTCGGAAATTATGGTGG